ACTTATTTTTACAAAATCAAAATTTTCAGCTATAGAAAAGGAAACAAGAATAAACCATGGCTAGTCAGTAGCCTGGTGATTGGAGTGGCTGGATCCCACATGACTCATTGCATAGTTTGAGTCCCAGACCCTGTGACTTTGAGAGGTACACTGGGTATGTGTGCCCCAGATCCTTAGAGGAGAATTGAGAGGGAATGGTGGTGAGGTCATCTCCCTTGGGAGGTGCTTTTTCACTACTACCCCTCCCCCTTCTTTGGTGCTCACATTTGCTCTATGACAAAACAAAACTAAAAACAAAAACTAACCAAAAAAAAGGACTAAATCATAGACTCTACAGTGGGTTGAATGGTGCCCTGCACCCACCTTAAAATAAGTCTGATCTCTAGGAATGTAACTGAATTAATTTGGGAAAAAGACCTTTGCAAATGTAATTAAATTAAGGAACACAAAATGTAATCATCCTGAAATATTTTGGTGGGCCCTAAATCTGATAACAAGTGTCCTTATAAAGGACACACACCGACTGGCATAGTGGTTAAGATGCTGGACTCCCACATGGCTAATGGTGGTTCAAGTCCTGGATCTGGCGGCTTGAAACTTTTGCCAGATGTGTGTGTATGCATGTCCAAAATCCCAAGAGGAGAATAGAGGAGAAAGGATTGTGGTGTTGTTATCTTCCTTGTGTGTGTGGGGTGCAATTTCTCACTTTCCCTCTCACTGTCTCTCCAGCAAGCACACATGCCCTATGGCAAAAGTCTTTAAAAAATAAATAAGTAAAAATAAAGGACAGAAAAGAAGGTATGTGAAGATGGAGGCAGGGATTGGACTGATGCAGCCTTAAGCCAGGGCAAGCAAAGGACTGCTGAGCAGCCACTGAAGCAAAGAATCAGGAACCTTGCCCCCCCATGGTTTTCTGTGGGAGCTTATCTCTGCCAGTACCCCATTTTGGTGCCAGAACTGTGAAAATAAAATTCTGTTGCTTTAGCCGTCAAGTTTGTGGTGATTTGTTAAAGCAGCCTGAGGAAATTAACACAGACATAAAGTCGATTCCTAGAATTAATAATAAATCCACGAAGGTCATGTTATCAGTTTTTTCCTCCCAGGGCTATATACAAGTAGTTTTCAAAAGGTTCATGGAAAATGCTATTATGAAAAAATACGCATAGATTTCAAAATTACTTGAATGAGAATGAACTCATACTTTAACCCCATTTTTGTATAGACTGGAAAATCCCTGATATATTTTATCTTTTTTCCCTTGAAAACCATGAAGCAATAAAAGCTCTATACCACAAGCACACCTAATGCCCAAATTGTGGTTTCCGTGTAACCTGTGTCACTGTAATGAGGCCAGGTTCTTTGGAGTGACAGCTCTACAAATCAGGGAGTAGGAAATATGATAGATAAGATGAACTTGCAGTGTTTTGGTGAACTAGAAAACAAAGATGTTGGCCAGCTGTGGTGGTGCAGTGATAATGCAAAATGCTCTACAATGCTCAGCCTATAGAGAAAGGTCCCCAGTTTGTATCCGGGAACCTCCCTGAGTGTACTGGGCACGTGTGGTCATGAGAGTACATCCAAGTCCTTTCTGTGCATGCCCAGCACATGTGCCCTTGATCTTCACTGGGGTTGGGATTTTGGTATCAAGATCTTGTAAGAGATCTGTTAGGAGTGTCCTTCCTCTCTTCCTCTCTGTGCTTCTCTCTCTTACTTTCACTGAAAGAAACTTAAAGAACGTTTTTCCGCAATTTATTGAAACACATTGGATATAAAAAAATTTATTAGTTTGTATTTATCATAACTCCTCCCTTCTTAAAACGTGTTTATATCACACTAGAATTATAGCACTGACTTCTTACTCAAAAATTAACTATTGGGACCAGCACTTGGCGTAATGGCTATGTCACTGGACTCCCATGTAGTCGACCTCAGTTCGAGTCCCAGACCCCATGGCTTAAACTAATGCTGGATGCGTGTGTGCGCATGCCCAAGATCCCGAGAGGAGCATGGAGGAGAAGGGATTACAGTGTGGCCATCCACCCTGGGGGATGATTTCTCACTTTCTGTCTCTGTTTTTCTGGTAAGCGCACGCACCCTATAGCAAAAACCTCTCCAGAAACAAAATTTAACAATGAAAAAAGATTCAGCATTTAACTTGATTTTGCTTGAACAAATGTTTTAGAATGAACACATAGTCCTAGTTGATGAGGAAAAGAATTACAGCTAATAAATGTGAATAGAATAAAGTTAGGAAAGTCCAGTATTAGTTTCAGGTAGTGAGCACTGATAGATGAAAATGTTGAATGAAAGAATGAAGGGGGACGTTTATAGTGCACAAACTCATGTCTTACCACCAGCTGGTCAATCTTAGCCTTGCTAAAGCAGACAGCCAAACATTGTGGACCTTCTGATATAAGATGTGATTGATATGAACAACACAGAATCTATTGTAAAAAGTAGAAATCGAATCTAATTAAGTGTGTAGAGCTTACTTCATTGTACATGAAGGAGGAACAAGACAGTTCTAGAATACAATATACAGAGAACAGCTGACTCCTTTTTTCAGGAATTAGTTTTATGAAGGGAAAAAAATGGAGGCTAGGAGATATAGTATCCAGATGAGATATGTAGACCTTGTTTTGGATTCTGCTGCAAACCGACTATAAAATGAAAATGTTTTCATCACTCAGGCAAATTTAAATATGACTGATGGTATAGACAGTTTGAAAGTAATTATTAGGAAGGAAAACATCTGCATTTTTAATAGATGAATGCTAAATTATATAGAGGTAAAAGAACAATACTAGGATATTTTGTTTAAGAAAATTACAATAGAATCACATTTTAACGAGTGATAGCAATAGTATTCGGGAAAGCAACGTTTATAAAAATAATTTTCAACATAGTCTGTACTAAGCCAAACCATAATCAGTTCAAGTATAGACTTCACAACATTATCTCTAATCTTAACTTTCATATATTTTTTCAAGAATTACATACGCCATGAAATAACAGGTTCAGTGAGTAAAGAAGGATGACGAGATAGAAATAGGAGCTCCATGGTGCCAGATGATGGCACAGTGGTAAAATTTGATCTCTGCAAGGTCAACCTGTATGGGAAAGTTCTGGGTTTGTATCCAGAGATCTCCTTGAGTACATTGGGCTCATATGTGCCCAAGATCTGATGATGACTGATACTGGGGATGGATCGTGGTGTCAGGATCCTATTGAAATGCTCTCTGTCTGTCTCTGTTCTTCTTGCTACTGGAAGAAAGAAATTTTAAAAAAGAGAGAGATTAGATAGATTGGATGACTAGATAGGTGGATAAATAGGAGCTCGAGACCAGAGAGACTAGAAGTTTCTAGGACAGCAGCAATGCGTCAGCTCAGCATATTACCAGTTTACTTTGGAGTGGGGGAGGATCTAGAGCTTTAGAGTGGAAGAGGTCCATGAATGAAAGAGAGCTGGTTGATTTCTGATGCTTTTTTTCTTTTTAGATTTTTGCCATAGAGTGCATGTACTTACTGGGAAGAGACAGAGAAAGTGAGAAATGATCCCCAGGTGGAATGGCCATGCCACAATTGCTTCTCCATTGGCCTCTGAGGATTTGGGGCATGTTTTTCAAGCCACTGGATCTTGAACTTGCATCACACAATTGGGTATTTGGGATCCAGCACCTTAGCTACTATGCCACTTAATTGGCTCAATTTCTGATGCATATGACTGTGGAAAATTTAAAGAACTGGAGGAAAGTGAGAATTTGTGGCTTGTGTGCAGAAAGTTGAACAAATTAAATAGAAAATGAAAAAACATGATTATATAGTCTTATATTTTACTAATCTTGATAGGTAACAACACTATATACATATTTAATTATAATTGGTAGACAGTTATTTTCACTGTTGGAAGAAGGGAGAGTAAGTGGTGTTAGGGAATGAAAATCATAGGAAAATCAATAGATAATACTTAAACCTAATATTTGAAGGGTTACCTTTGTAATCCATCACTTAGGCATAAATGCCAAAAATGAAATAAAGGAAAAGATTTTTAGAAATTTTTAAATAATTTTAAAGCATTGTATTTGGTGTAGAAAGAGAAACTGTATTTGACTTTACTCATTGTGCACATTGTTAGACAAAAATGAAGATATATGCTAAAAAATACATGCTAAAAAAAGACTATATTTGAAGAGCTTTTCTGGGTATGTGAAAGTGAATCAAACTATTTTTCATTTACTTCACACCTAGATGTCTTGTCCTTTCTTATAACTTTAGATTTTGCTTTATGATAGTCAATTATGAAATTTAGAACTTAAAGGAGAATGGGCTTGGAATTTATTTTATTGGTATATTTTTAAATTTTTTTGAGAACTGATTAAAATTCTAAAAAGTAGAAAAACATACTGTGAAGATATTTTGATCATTGACATTATTAGTTAAGATTAAATTGTTTAAAGTGTTTATAAAGATTTTACTTGCAAAGTTATGTTTACCCACAAGACTTGTGTCCTTACAACATTGTCTTATTTTTTTAAAGAGGTTTTTGTATAGGGTGCATGCGCTCCGCAGAAAGACAGAGACAGACAGAGAGACAGAAATCGTGAAATCATCCCCCAGGGGGGATGGCCACACCACAGTCCCTTCTCCTCCATTCTCCTTTTGGGATCTTGGGCACGCACGCACATGTGCCCGGCGTGAGTTTAAGCCACCGGGTCTGGGACTCGAACCGTGGTCAACTACATGGGAGTCCAGCGACATATCTATTACACTAACTGCTGATCCCAACATTGTCTTATTTTTAGAAGGGTTTGTTTCCACAAATTCACTTAAATTAACAAAGGCAATATTGTCATGAGTGGAAAAGAAAACTTCAGAAGGTCTGCTGTGAAAGTGATGATTTGAACTGTTATCTGATTTTGTAATTTGTTTTCTGTAACATGTTGACATTATTACTTGATTTCAAAGTTAATCTTGGAATTACCTTTCGATATCTTTTCCAGGTTAGATACAGGAGGCAGTTTTCGTGGTGTACATTGCTGTCCTTGGTAAGACTATGTCGTCCATCTTGCCGTTCACTCCACCAGTTGTGAAGAGACTGCTGGGATGGAAGAAATCAGCTGGGGGTTCTGGAGGAGCAGGCGGAGGAGAGCAGAATGGACAGGAAGAAAAGTGGTGTGAGAAGGCAGTGAAAAGTCTGGTGAAGAAACTGAAGAAAACAGGACGTTTAGATGAGCTTGAGAAAGCCATCACCACTCAAAATTGTAATACTAAATGTGTTACCATACCAAGGTAAGCATTGTCAGACCCGAGGTTTGATTATCATACTGACGGGAATTGCTTAGGGGAGTCAGAAGGAAAATTACTGAAGTTTTGTTACTTCGAAGTCACCCATAAATAGTGATTATCAAAATAAGACTCTTCATTTAACCTGTCATTTTAGTTTTGTTCTATTGGTTCAGACTTCTTTTCCACCTCATTTTTTTGAGTACTGAGAAGGTTTTCCAAGCAAAATAAGATACTTAGTTTTATTAAGTCTTATCTTCATTGCTTAAAATTGTATGTTATTCTCAGTTCTGTGATCGAATGATATTTGAATAAAGATGCAAAACCTTTTCTATCATTAGCATGGTGTGACTGACAATTTTCTCCCCCCTTGGTCAAAACTTTAGTCAATAAGGAGTTGAAAGAGGCTGTCAACTTTTCACTGAATTATATATAGTTTTTATTTGAGTTACAGAAATATTTCTGAGAAAGGAGGTAGCTTCTTGATTGCTGTATGTAGTAGTCACAGCCTGTCTTGAAGGTTGACTTCTTATATTGGAAGGACCTGTTACTTAAGCATTTGAAATTTTCTAAGTATAAATTTAATCATTTACAGATAAGTACTGCTGTTAGAAATTAAAAAAAAAAAGTAGGTGGTTTTTTAATACATTCCACTACTTTCTGTGTACGTTACAAGTTTGAGGGGAGGGAGTGTCAAGATACAGCACTCTCTAAAATGATTGTTTGCAATGTCAGATGCGTGGGCTAGTAGATAGCATGAGAAACCGTTCTACTTGACCTGTTTCTAATAAGCTTTTGAGAAATACACCCCAGTGCTTGGAGAATGGATTCTAGTAACACCAGCCTGTCTTACCTGCGAATGCTAACAGTAGAATGTTTCCTTCCATGTTTGTTAGACTAATAATCCATTTCTTTACCCTAAATGAGTCACTTTTCTTGATTTATTCTTTTGTTTTATAAATACTGAATGTGCAATGCTATTTGCCAGGCAGTTTCTAGATACAGGGTGATACAATGATAAACAAAACATGAAGTTCCTGCCCTTCTAAGGGATAGAAGCACACCATGAACAAGTGAACGGAGTGATGTAGTCCCAGATGGTAATGAGTGCAAAGAAGAAAACTAGTGCAGTAATAAGACAGGTCAGAGAATGACTGAGGAGTAAGGAAGCTGCCCTGGGTAGGATGATGATCCTTAAGCTGAGCTCTAAGCAGCAACAGCTGGCTGAAGGAAGTCTTTTAGGCAGAGGAAAGAATCAGTATGAAGACTCTGAGGTTGTGTTGGAGGATTTAAAGGACCTCAATGGAAATGGGACACATGGCTCAGAAGGAGTCTCATCATATAGGTATTGCAGGGCACTATGGGAGTTTGGATGTTAGTCTAAATGTAATGTGAATCATGTAAAGACTTTTAATGGATTTTCTCAAAAATCCCATTTTCAAAATTTACATTTTGCAGAGATCATTCTGGGCCCTGGAGACAAATGATGGAGGAGTAGATGCATGTGTACGTGTATTACTGGAAGCAGTAGGGTGGATGGGCACAGGAAGATCAGTTAGGCTGTGAGCGTCTGGACTAGTGTGGTAGGTGGGCTACCACACGAAGTGAACCAGTCCACCCTGTGTTTGCAGAGCGGGACTGACAGGACTTGTGGGTAGATTGGCAGAGGGTAAGTCAAGCTGTATGTGTTACTTTCTCATTGTGTAGGGGGTAGCATTGCAATTCAGTAAAATTTCTTAAATGCCTGATAGGCTCTTCCTCTAGTAAAAAGATGGTCTTTGCTCTTGAGTTGCTTGCTTTCTATTTTCAGTGAGGGAGATAAGATAATTTCCTGAGGTGTGATAGGTGTTAGGAAGCAGTATGCTCAGGGAGCTGTGTTCAGAGGAGGCTTGGAGAAAGTTTCCTTCTGGAGGAGTTTTGGTGTCTGAGTTGGGTCTTGGTAGTATGAAGGAGTGGGTATCAGGACACTTTTTCATCAACAGTAGCACTGTGTGTGGGGAGTGGGATTAGGGAGGACTGGGAAGGGCTCCCAGCAAGCTGGTGTCCTTAGAGTGTGAAGTGACGGAGATAGCACAGGTGAGTGTGTAGCAGCAGTCAGGAGTCACAGCATGCTGTGCTAGGGACTCCACACTTAACACGGTGTGACTGGTCAGGGTGGAGTTGTTGGAGACTGCTCTGAAGTCAAGATACTTTTTTTTTTTTTTTTGGAGAGGTTTTTGCTATAGGGCATGTGCACTTGCCAGAAAGAGACAGAGAGACAGAAAGCAAGAAATCACCCCCCAGGGGGGATGGCCACGCCACAATCCCTTCTCTATTCTCCTCCCAGGGTCTTGGGCATACTCACACACACGCCTGGAGTGAGTTTCAAGCCTCTAGGTCCTGGACTCAAACTGCAGTCGGCCATGTGGGAGTCCAGTGATGTAGCCATTGTGCCTTCTGCTGGTCGCACTCAGGATTAATTTTAACTACAATGTCTGCCTGGAGCGAGGAAACTGGTTGTAAGGCTGTCAAGAGTGGAGGCAAGAGACGCCAGATAGTAGGTTATCTTATCGTGGGGATATGCAGCCATGGTTGCCATTGTGATGAGATGATCTACAGAGCAGAGCCTGAGAGTGGTCTTTTAACAGGTAGTGGCAGCCTTACGTTTCAGGGCTGGCTCTCGTGGATATTTGAACTGTTGAGACCACCTTAGTCACAACCGCCCCCCCCCAAATTTTCTATTCTTACGTCCTGTTTTAGAGATTTCTCTTTACATTCCAGACCTTCATTGTTAGGAGCTGGGGAGGCAGTGTGGGATGATGGTCAAGGCAGCTGTATCCCACATAACCGATTGCACAGTTTGAGTTTAAGACCTGACAGTTTGAAAAACATTTTGGGTGTGTGTGTGTATGTGTGTGTGTACGTGCATGCCCAAAATCTTGAAAGAAGGGAACGTTGTAGGAGGAGGGATTGCAATGTAGACTATTCCCCATGGGGGTTCTTTCTTACTTTCCCTCTCTCTTTCTGCTTCTCTCTCGTGAATGCACACACTTTCTGGCAAAATTGTTTTTAAAAGAGCACAAACATTTTTCTTAAACCTTTTTTACCTGATGAAAATCCATTATATTGTTTTTTTTTTTTTTTTCCTTTTTAAACAAAGATTACTTATTTTTGCTATAGAGTGTGTGTACTCACCAGAGAGGCAGAAATCGCCCCCTTCTCCCCGGGGGATGACCATGCTGCAAGCCCTTCTCTTGCATTCTCCTCTTTTTTTTTTTTATTTTATTTTATTATCATCATAATCTTCTTTCTATTACACTAGATTACATATAACTTTACATTGACTTCCATTGCTTTTTCAAAAGGGAATGCCATGCATGTCAGTCAATACAGAGATATCAATCTCCCCGCTTTATCATTCAATATCTTTTCCATGCTTTTCCCAATAATTATTATTATAATTTTTT